TTTTTTTTTTTTTTTTAAATCCTCACTCAAGGATATTTTTTCCATTGCTTTTCAGAGAGAGTGGAAGGGAGAGACACAGAGAGAGAAACACTGATATAAGAGACACACATCCATTAGTTGCCTCCCACACGCACCCCAACCAGCTGGGGATCAAGCCTGCAACCCAGGTACGTGCCCTTGGCCGGAATTGACCGGGGCCTTCAGTCCGCAGGGCAACGCTCTAAACACTGAGCCAAACTGGCCAGGGCTCACGTATCACTCTTGTAAGAACACACATATGCAGCAGACATAGGGCACCCACACACAGCTTACAGGTCCACCATGAACAGATGTCAAGGATGAGGAGCCTAGAGGCAGAAGACCTGGTTCCGTCTTCATTGGACAAGTGATTTAACCTAAGCCTCAGCTCTCCCATCTGCAAAATGGGTTGTCATGAGGAATAATGCAGGGTTGTCATGGGACTCCCTTGAGATAATAAACATGAAGCATTTGTAAGATGCAAAACATGACATAGGTATTTCATAAGGTACACATTCACTAGCTTGACATACACCTAGGACTCACCCTCCCCTGCCACAGGCTCCCTAAAGCTCAAAAACTTCTTGCCAAGTGCTTTGAATACCCCCTCGCAGCCCATGGTATCAGGTGCCAGACCCACACACATGTACACACTGCATACTGTATAAATATAGGTTTTATTAATAATGGGTGAAATCCCACAAATTGCACTGGCATCTCTGTGTGATGGGGAGGATCTGTGGCAGGGTGAGGGAAGGGAGAGAGGTATATGCATAGTAATAAATAAGGGAAAGAGTCCTAGGGAAAGGGAAATCAGAAGTGGAATGAGCCTGGACCCACCAGGAAAGCCAGACATGCTCCAGGTGTGTCTGTCATCCTGGTGCCCAGGGCATGCCCAGGGCCCACCTTGGCTGATGGGAAGGGGTAGAGAGACATGGACAAGAGTTTGAATGAGCAACAAATGGCTGGGGAGGGGGTGGAAGAGTGACAACGCCAGCTTGACACACAAAAGAAGGGCCATGAGGTGGCAGTGGCCAAGGCCAACTTATGCCCATGCTTGTGCTTGTGTTAGGTCCTGAACTCCAGGGAACTAATGCCCTGCGCCACCCCTGGCTTGGGAGGAAGGGAAGACTGGGGTGGGGAGACACCAACAGATCCAGAAGATGCCCTGGACAACATCCTTACAGTCAAAGCAGGAACCCCAGGAGGAGATTGGCACTGCCCTCCCTGCAGCACCCACCCCCACCCTGCCACCATCACTCTTCCTCTGAGCCATCAGGGACAGCAAGGGTGTGTAGGGCTGAGATAGCATGTATGTGCCTGTAACTCCTGAGAGGGGAGGGAACGTTGCAGGCGCTGCTGCAGGGAGAAAGGAGGCCTGGGTCTTCTCCCACTCACCCCCCAGAATAAAGTGCACTCTCCAGTTCCAGTGGCAGGTGAGAGAGAAACGGAGACATTATTGCAGAGGTGCCACCAGGCCCTACTCCCACCAAAGGTGATGGGAAGGGGGAAGGGGCATCCCATGGCCCCAGGCTGCTCCAATCCCCAGGATTGGGAGGATGACCCAGACAGAAAACCCAGCTTCTGTCCCAGCAGATTGTCCAAATTAATGAGGCTCTGGCGGGGTGGGGGCATAGGAGGAGGAAGAGACTTCCAGAGTCCTTCCCTGCTCCATTCCAGCATCCAAATGGGACTTCCAGGGACCCCATCAGGCCCAGCCCTGGAGCCCCAACCTTATAACAGCTCAGTTTACAAACACTTGTGTGGTTGGAACCCCCAAAGGGGGCCACTTTGGTCAGTTGTAAGTGGGGGCCTGGGGAGCCTGGGCTCTCAGGCAGACAACAGAGGAGGGTGCCGAGGGCAGGAAGACAGGTACTAGCCTCCAAGTGGTCTTTGCATGCAGGTGTTGGAGAGAGAAGGGAGGAAGCTACAAACCACATCAACTTGGGAAGACTCCTGGGCACAGCGTGGAGGGCTGCAGCCCCCATTCCAAGGGCCAAGGCTGGGAGCACAGCCAGCCCCCCAGCCTGTGGAGGAGCTGAAAGAGGGGGGGCAGCTGCACCAGCAACCAGTGCCCAGGTCTACAAGGTTAAAACAGTCCCGAAGGGCTGGAGCTGGGGGCTTCCTGCTGCGGGGGCTGGGCACAGGCCAGGGCAGGGCTCTATCTCTCCGACTTGACCCGGTACCGGAGCACAAGGTATGCCAGCAGCCGCAGGGCCAGGAAGAAGATGCCCAAGACCAGGAAGTCCATGTAGAGCTTGGCATCCTCCACATCCAGCGCCCGGAGTATACTCTGTGGCTCCCGGAAAGGGCAGCGCTCCTCCGAGCAGGCCAGGTCTCCTCGCTCCATGCCGTAGATGGTCAGAATCACACCCTCAAAGCCGTACCTAGGCAAGCAGGGGCACCAGGGAGGACACGGAGTGGAGGGTCACTGCTCCCTGGGCAAACTGCCAGAGCCCAGATGCAACTCTGTCACTCCTTGGGCATGGCCTCCTGCAGGGAGCAGCAGGGGCAGATGGCAGGGGAGGCTGCACTGACCTGACATAGGAGAGGTAGGAGCTCCATTGCAGGTAAGTGGGGATGGTCTTGAAGCTGACAAAGAAACCCGAGAACAAGAGGACAGGGATGGCGGTAACCGGGCCCACAAACGTGGCCACCTGGAGGGGAAGGAAGGGGACCGGGCCATCACAGGGGTGACCAGGACAGACCCAGTCCTGGGGTGCCCCAAGGTTTCCTACAGATCTCTCCCACTCCTTATGCAAGCCCCTGTTTCCTCCCTTCTCAGGGGTCCCCAAAGGCCAGCCTTCCCACCTGGAGAGAGTTGGAGGCGGCTCCAATGAGCAGCCCCAAAGACTGGGCCACCAAGGCTGTGGCAGTGGCCAGGGCTGAGAAGAGTAGGAAGCGGCTGGTCTCAGCTGGCTGGCCTGTCATCCAGTACACGATGCTGCAGTACACCGCTGGGCACACCACCTAGGGAGTGGCATAGGGCTGGGGCAGCCCAAACCCTCCCCTTCACCCAGGCAGGAGCCTCTAGAACAGCTGCTCCTACAGAGCTTGTGCCTAGTCCAGGCTTCACACTCCTGTTCAGGCTGTGCCCCCGGGGCCCATGTCCTCCTCCCTGGCCGTAGGAGCCCCACTCATCCTCCAGCCTCACATCTTCCATTAGACCCACTCTGACCGGCTCAGGCATGGTGACTTCTATATCTTCTGAGCTCCCAAAGTCCCTACCCCGGCCCAACTTATTCCTCATATTGTTAATTAACTCTACATATGAGCTTTGTCCCCTATGAGTTACCGACTCCTGAAGGGAAAGGGCTCACCCTACTACACACAGTCACATAGGCTGTTCCCTGCACAAGGACACCTAATAAACAAGAGGCAGCCAGGGGCACCCTGGCCCAGTGCAGCATCCACTCTGAGGAAGGGGCACCTTTTTCTAACTTGCACAAAGGTGCCCTATGGATTATTCATGGCCCTAGTGCTTGAAACAGGGTGGTGGTGGCAATAACAACAACCCCAAACAGCGAACATTTATTGGACACTTTAGTATGTGCCAAGCACCATTCTAAGCGCTTGACATGTATTAACTCATTTAATTCTCAGCCATTCCCAAGTGAGATTCTGTCACCATTCCCTTTTACAGGTGGGGACACTGAAGCAAAGGGACACTTAGTGACTTGCCCAGTGTCTCACAGCTAGCAAGCAGCCTTAAGGCTCCAAGCTGGCACTATTCTCTACCGCTTCAAATGAGATTTACAGTCATTTGCAGGGTTATTATTTTTATCATTTTCTGTTTGTCATCAGTTGTTCCCACTAGAAAATTAAGTCCCACAAGGTCAAGACTCTCCTCTCATTCACTGCTATGTCCCCACCTGGCACAGGGCCTGGTGCACGGCAGGTCCTCACCACCTATTTTCTAAGTGAGTAGAAGTAAAGGAAAAGATGACAGGTGGTAAGGCTGAGGGAGGCAAGACAGGAGGGAGACAGAGGGCAGGTGAGAGGAAGAGCTCACCTGAAAGGGCACATCGGCCATGGTCTTGGCCAGGTAATACGCTTTGAGGCTGTACCAGTAGTTGAGATGCTCCCTCATGAAGACTGCCATCTCTAAGGGAACTGAGGACACATACAGATTAGGCCCCTGCCCCTGCCTCAGCGTCCCCGCCCCGGCCCCTGCCCCTGCCCCTGCCCAGGGCGGCTCAGCTCACAGGTAAGCACAGTTGGCATAAGGGCAGCGAACATGAGGAACAGCATGGAGAAGAAGAGGCAGCCGGTGTTGTTGAAGACCTTGCTGGCGTCATCGCCAATGTGCAGGTAGAGGAGACCAATGAGAACACCAATCACCACATGGGACACAAACCGCAGGTGGGTCAGGACCTGTGTGACAGTCATCACAAGGAGAGGGGAAGGGTCACAGGCTAGGAATGGGCACCCACACTGGGGTAGGACCTGAGCTGCCCTCACAGGCACGTAGACCCAGAGGTGCACTG